CTTTCCATACAGCAGTTCACATACACTTTATCGCCACTGTAGCAAATTATTGAACCCAGCAAAGAGGTGGTGGGTGCTGTGTGAGGGATGGGTGGTGTCAAAGTTGTAAAGACAGCTGGAGGTGGCAGAATATATCTGGGATCCTAGGGGAACACTAGAAGGCCAGAGTGAGAATGTAAGGTGAGTAAGGAAGAAGAGCAGTGGGAGAGATCAGAGAAGCGGGGAGAGCTTCTGCAATCTCTACTCTTGCCCACCTGAAAAAGTGGACAAATGACTCTTCCCCAGAGGTATATAAGCCATCGGCCCAGCAGAGTGAAGGGGAGCTGGGTAAAATGCCTGTGGAGACCCTGTCCAGTGCATGCATTCTCATTTGACCAATACTTAGTTTGGGTGTCCTGAGAGAGTGTCATATTCCCTGATAAATGATTACCCTTCCTTTGTTCACATATGTGTTGGGTGAAGATAAAGCCAAGGAAAGCCTTTGTTTCACAGATCTTATCACAACCACACTATCACACTAGAATGTTCTTCATGATAAACACAGAGCCACCACAGTGAGAACCAAACCAAATTCAAACTCACTGCCATCGATTCTGACTCATGGCGACCCCCACTGGGTTCCCAAGGTTGTAAATCTTTATGGAAGCAGACAGTCTCATCTGTCTCCCTTGGAGTAGCTTCTGGGTACAAACCACCACTGTTTGGTTAGCAGCCAGATGCTTTACCACCACCAGAGCTCCTTCAAAAAGAGAAACAAATCCAAATATTATGGCAGGACTGTAAATCTTAAGTGCTCTTTTCCCTGAATTAAGTGCCAACATTTCCCCAAATCCCTGCTTATTTGGAAAATTCTAACAATCACCAGAAATGGTTTTGTTTCTCTTAGGTATCCTGACTTCCCTCTGTACCTAGCGCTGACCACAGCCCTCTGGCTGATTAGACTTGGATTAGACATTAGTGGGAAAAGGAAATGTGTATTTCTCTGAATTGTTAAATACTCATTCAACACGTATTTGATCAATTTGCCCAAATGCTGTGCACCCCTACAGCAGTGGCATGATGTCCTGTCTCAACCTGTCTTTCTCCATCTCTCCCAGCCCATTCCAGGCCTGTTGTTCAACCTCTGTGTACACCAGAGTGGGCTCCGGCTCCCGTTCTGTTTGCACATCTGTAAGTGAGGACTTTGCCCTCTCACCAATACTGTGCTGCAAATCAGAGATCAGGAGCATCTGTGCACTCTCAGTTCTTTACTCACTCACTCACAAGCTTAATGAGCACCTACTGGGTGCCCTGCATGGTCCTGAGGACTGAGCAGACATCAATACCCACAAAAGTGAAATAAGTGAATAGAGAGGGAACAGGTGGTGGACATTCTAGTGAGCAGTCAGACAAACAGATACAGAACGTGTCAGCTGAGTGCTATGGAGAGAATAAAGGCACAAAGGAGGTGGAAGATAGCAAAGGATGTGGTGCTGGGTTACAGCAGGTGTTTGAGAAAGGACTCTCTGATAAGGAGCAGTATCTAGGAATTTCAGGGTCACTCCTCTCAGGGAGTAAGGACTGAGGCTCAGATGCCCATCTTCTCTGTTGGAACAGCAGCCAGGAGGCTGGGGATGGAGTGAGTCAGGGGGTGCAATCAGTGATGTGTCTGAGTCAAACTCATATAGGCTCCTGACGACCAAGGCAAAGAATGATTTTTAATCTAAGTGAGATAGAAGCCTGCAAAATTTTGACAGGGACATTCAGGCTACTGTGAAAACAGGCCAGAAGCCTTGTCACAAAGTTACTGCAGAAATCCAGGCAAAAGAAGATGGTAGAGAAATAAATACAACAGATAGGTACTGACCAGAAGTGCTAACAAGAAGTCCCACTGATTGGTCTATCTCAGCTCTTTGCTCTGCTCTTTGAGGAAGGACCAACAAAAAGGAGAAGCCAAGGCCAAGGCTGCCTGGCTCTACTGAGAGGGACATTTTTTCATATAGCCTTTATTTAAGAACTTTACTGATTTAAGTCCCTTCAGAACCCTGGTTTGGTGGTTAAGTTTGTGTGTCAACTTGGCTAGGCCTGGTTGAGTGGCTGGGCAGCTGGATGTAGTATTCCCCATCATGAGACTGGTAATCAGCTACATGGTGGAATCTACTGGGAGCAGCTGAATAGCTGCCTTTGGTTATGTGGTCTGCTTCCTGTATATAAGAAACAGCTTTAGGAATGGTCTGTGGTTTATGGCATGCTTCATCTCTGCGTGTCGCTATGTCGTTGTTCAGCAGCCTACCAAGCTCTGCTGACCTTGGGCCTTACAATGGACTTGGAGGAGCCTTTGTAACTAACTACAGGTTGAAGAGGAAATCGGCCCTTCCACAATCAGTCCAACTTTCTGTCACATTTTCTCCAAGTTAAAAATCTCTTCTAACAAACAGATCCTTACTTGGTTACTCCCCTGGACAGGCACGGCTACCCATCTGGGGATCCTAAATGTTTTGCTAAAAAAATATTATGGCCTCTTTTATGAGGCACCTTACTGTGTCTTCCCATTCTGGAGTCACGGGTCCCTGCTCCTCTACTGCTGACCACGGTGTCGTGCCTTGGAAATCTTGGGTCTCGGGTAAAACGTCTGGGTGTGAAGGAGCTCCTCCTGAATGGTGAGTTCTCTCCTCCTTCTTTCCTAAAATGAGATTATTATAAAGTCTTAGTTTAAAACTGTGTTGTTTCAAATGCTTGGGGACCTGGGTGACTGTCCTGGGTGGCCAGCTGCATAGTGACTCCAGTGACAGGCAAGGAGATGGAGGCCTACCTGAAGCTCACAGACTTACCGTCAATCCATTCACTCACCACTGCTGTGGCAAAGCTCCCTGATCTTCTTATTTCATCCTCTGGATACATTTTTTCCCTTTCAAAACAGTCTTTACTATCCTTTTAAACATGTTTTTATTTGAATAAATGAAAGGTACGGGAGAGGTGAGTATGGATCACATGGAAAGCTGCCTTAGGGATGCCAAAATGCATGACAGACAGAGATAAATAAATTAACTGAAAAATCAACAAACATTTCAGTCAGCTTGCCTCAAACACAGAAAAATTACCACAAAGTTATGTTCCACACATAACCTTTAATTCTGATTGTTCCAAAGCAATTCTGGTTTCTTCTAGGTCATATATTTAAAACTAGCAATAAGATTAAATAGCTTGTATGATAAGATTTTTATACACTTGAAATAAGAATGTGTTAGAAAGTGTTTTATGGTGTTTCACAAATTTCAAGGTGCTTCTACATGGCCTCAGAGATTCTCACAATGAACTGTGATGTAGGTAAGGGTCCTCTAGGTATAGAAGCTGACCTCAATGTATGGAAAAGAAAATGAGGTACAAAGAAGACAGACACACAGATACACATTCGGAATCAAAATCCAGGTCTCTTCTCAAGTCCTCACTCCCAACTCCCAACCCAGGATGAAATTAAAATAGTGATTGAAACCATTTCTGGAAATCAATTAACTTATGTCTGTTTCTAATAAAATAGTTCAAACATTTTTAGTAATGAAAGTACTTTTACTTGAAAATTTAAAAATTTACCAATTACTATTCCAGTAGCATCCATCTTCAAAAGGTAACAAGAACAGGTGAAATTAATAACACATTTTATTTAACCAGATATATCCAAAATATTGTCATTTCAACATATCAATATTAAAAAGTATTAATGAAATAGTCTATATATTTTCAGACTAAATCTTCAAAATTTGGCATTTCTTATTTTGGATGATAAATACATATTTAAGATATTTGCTTTGCATTTAGATTTCATAAAATTTACAGTTAAAAAAGTAGACTGACATTCCCAAATTATTCCAAGCATACATAAGTTTTCCACTTAGTAGAGTATCAGTTTTAAAGTGATTAAAATTTTTAAAAATTCATTTCCTGTCTCAGTAGCCACATTTCAACTGCCCAAGAGCCTCATGGGGCTAATGGCTACTATATTGGGCTATGCTGATTTTAAACAGCCTCAGAATGTTTGCAGACAGTCTTTGCTGTTGACAGGATTGCATTCAGAGTGGGCTATCTTTAAACTCTTCTCAAAGCTTTGTAACTTTCTTGTGGCTTAAACTGTCCATTAATCTCATCAACATTTTTACAGAACATTTAAATTATGCTTAATTAAATTTTCTCACAACGTGCCATATTTTCTAGTAAACTTTATACCACGTTCAGATTTTATGCATGAATGTTTCCTGTTGGATTATAAAGAGGCTTATAATGATATGAGTTCTAAAGCAACTCAATAGTCAAGCTTCTTTTTCTAGTGCACACTCGGCTCAGCTATCAGTCAAGCAGTAGACAGGCCTATGGGGTGAACAATAACACCAGGGAGGTACCCACCTTAGAACAATCAACTGTACGAGATCAAAAGGGCAGTATTTGCCCAGGGATAAAGCTCAGAAGACTGGAAGGGAAAGAAAAGAAGGAAGAATGGAAATGGGAGGAAAGGGGAGAGTGCTATTACATTGTGGGAATTGCAATAAATGTCACAAAACAAAATGTGTATGAATTGTTGAACGGAAAGCCAATTGGCTCTGTATTTTCATCCAAATCACAATTTTTTCTTTTTTTAAAAAAAGGAGGCCTCACTATGTTTTTATAATGCAATGATTAAATATTGCTTGAATATTTACTTACATGGAACAATTCCTGAAAATCAAAAAGCAGAAATATTTTTATAGCTTTGCTTTAGTGCTCCAATTTACTTCATGGTCTCCTTACAATTTGAGTGTTTTAAAAAATAAATGTCAAGCTAAGTACCAGACTCAGTGACAACAGCTACAGAATTTCCTACTTAAACCTATAAAACCCATTGATCAAAACAGATGCTAAAATCAATACCAACTGTGAGTAATTAACCCTGTTCTCAAGTTGCTCCAAAAATATAATGTGGATGAAATATTGGAGCCACTTAAACTGGTAGAAGGAGAGCTTCTGCCGGCGGAATGTGCAGTGTTACCCGCCTACATTTTGGCCACCAGCCCTTTGGCTTGGTCACGCAGCTCCATTCCTGCGATTGCTGAGAGATGAACTTCATCCGGCCCATCTGCCAAACGCAGAGTTCGGATTAGGGCATACCTGGAAAAACAGAAAGAGCAGGATGGGGGTTATCAAAGGGGAAAATGATACTTTAATATCAGCTGCTCTGATTCTAAGTCAAAAACTCACAGCTGGCAAGTCAGATCTGACTCACAGTGACCCCTCCTTGGGTTTCGAAGGCAGTATCACTATGGAAGTAGATTGCCCAATCTTCCTTCCCAGGAGTGGCTGGTGGGTTTGAACCACCATCCTTCTGGTTAGCAGTCAAATACCTTAGGCACTATGTCACCAGAGCTCCCATTCTATATCAAGACTACATTAATTTTTGAAACCCTATGAGGACAGGGATAAGAAAAGGAATACAAGGAAAATCAAGAAAGTAAACCAAGAGCTTCTAAAATCCCCTTAAAGATCCCAATTTGGGAAGTGGAAGCCTAAATGGCACAGGGCAATGGGGTTACTCTCACTTTTGGTTTACTGCAGAGCTTATTAGAAGTTGCCAAAACTAAGACATATCTTAGATATGCCATAGAAAGTGAATGATACAGCACTATATATTTAGTTCTTAAGTTAAAAATTGATGTATTAAAATTTAATTTTTAAAAGCTGTTAGGCCACTGGACTTAAGATGGTGCTGTAAATATGTGTGGGGTTGACAGACAGGACATGGAGAATGTTCCTTCTTGACTCCCAATAATCAGAATCTAAACACAGAATTGTCAACAGCATGTACTGCTGCTGACTCAGCAGACGCCTGCCTCAGGCAGGTGGTAAGTAGTCCAAAGTGCAAACAGAGCCCGTCCCTGGGCTCCCTTTGGCCATCCCTGCTCCCCGACCCCACCCCCATATCTACAGTCCATGAACCCTCAGTGACCTCTCATTGTAAGCACTAGCATTATGAAATGAAAAAACAATGGTGATCATAAGACCAACTATTTATTGGTGCCCAGTGCTGTACTAAGGTACCTGTATTTCTTCATTCAGCCTTCAGTTACACTTTACAAAATTTTAATAAAATGAGCAAAACACAAACCTGTTGCTATTGAGTCGATTCTGACTCAGAGCGACCCTGTAGAACCGCCCCGTAGGGTGTCCTACACTGTAATCTCTATGGAAGCAGATGCCACATCTTTCTCTTGCATAGTAGCTGGTGGGTTTGAACCACAAATCTTTCAGTTGGTAGCCAAGTGCCTAAGCATTGAGCCACCGGGGCTCTGCTAAAGTAAGTTTGTATCTTTATTTTTTTCTTAAACAATCAGTGTCAAAGTATCCATAGATTTTAACTCCCAGCTTATGAAATGCAGATAGTTATTGAATACCATCTACTCACATGTTAGCCAGAGGGTAGTCCTGGGAAACACCTGCTCCTCCACACACTTGAATGGCCCGGTCAATGATTTTGCAGACTGTTCGTGGGGCAGCCACTTTGATCATTGCAATCTATAGAAGCAAGATATTATAACAATGCTCTATTCTTAAGACTATAAAAAATGTGGCAGAATTTGCTAGACCCTGCTTCTTTGTGAAATGAAACAAGGGAATTTTCCCACACACTATTCACTATAAAACCTTTTTATTGAAAGGTAACAAAAAGATCTACCGTAATGCAATTAATGACCATACTTCAATCAATACAGACCTTCTGGAAAGATAGATCTCTTCCAAATCACATTTTATCCATTTATTTGTACTTGTCTTATTTCCAAAACGTTTTAGGCAGCCAATAAATCACAATCATTACTTTAGGGATTATAAAGAGAGTTCAAGAGTCTTCACTAATCAGTTTTCTCTTAGCAATTTTATGAACTTTTAGAATTAAATAACTAGTATTTATTCTATATAAGCCAGAAACATAAGAAGGCAAGAATTAAAGGGCTACTTATGAAACATTTACTAGGTGGCAGCATAGTGCTATGCATTCTGTCTTGACTACTCTTCACAAGAACCTTAGGGCATAAGCAGAAAGATTAAATACTTGGCCACAGCTCAAAAAGCTAGCAACCAGTGGTATAACCAAAAAAACAAAACCTCACTATCCTGGAGTCAGATCAGACTCATCTGACTCATAGCAACCCCTCCTTGGGTTTCGAAGGCAGTATCACTACGGAAGTAAATTGCCCAATCTTCCTTCCGAGGAGTGGCTGGTGGGTTTGAACCGCCAGATTTGTGATTAGTAATCAAATGCCTTAGGCACTATGCCACCAGAGCTCATCTGGGATTTCCCCCACTTCTTGCTGCTGCATCTCACAATTGCTACAATAGTCCACATCTTGAAAGTCATAGCTCAAAGCAGTCCAGTGGAAGGGGAACTAATAAGTGACAAATATTTACAATCTTTAAACCATAAATAACATGAGGGCCTCCAATATTCCGAGTGATATTAAGGCACCATGAAACTGGAAATGCCTAATGGGTGAGAGAAACCAGAGAAGGCTGGGCAGATGGCGGTCCTCACCTCTTTCTTAGCGTGAGCACTGCCCACAGTGTCAATGCTGAAGGCAGCTTTCAGGGTCAACAAACGGATCTGTTCAATGGCAATGCGGCTTTCAGCAATCCAGTGGGCAACTACCTCCTGTGAGAGAGCAAAAGGCAACAAAAGGAAGGAAGAGGTAAGCTAGAGTCTGATGCTGTTGTTGTTAGGTACTGTCAAGTCATCTCCGACTCATAGCGACCCTATGCACAGCAGAACAAAACACCGCCTGGTCCCGCGCCAGCTAACGTATCAGTGTTTCTTTGTTATTCATAAGGTTTTCCCTGGCCAATTCTTTGAGAGGTGGATGGCCTCTTCCTTCTTCTTAGTCTGTCTCAGTCTGATGACCACATGTAATATAGCATTGCAATTTAGTGCAAACAGTCTCTAGGCTAAGTACTGTTCATACACCATGCCCTCTATGTCTTAAAATGGAAGAGTTAATTTGTCTGGTATACACTGGCCCAGCCACATACTTGTGAATGTTGCATTTAATAGTGGTAGATTTTAGACAATTTTATTTGATCAGAAAAATGATTTGTTTTGGATACCTCGATGCCTAAAATCAAGAAGCACTCCTCATTAGCCCTGTGGAATACTAATCACGTGCTTTCATTGAAACATGGTTAAATGTATGCTGGTGGAGACTGCTAATAGACATAATAGATAATTCTCCGGACAATTTCAGTGTGGAGATAGTCCAGCAGTCTTTTCTTGTGCTGTTGTCGCAACCCGTGTGTGTGTACAGTCTATGAGTTATAGCACATGCATAGATTAATGTAACAACCAATCAGGATACAGAAGAGTTCTGCCATCCCACAAAACTTCATGCTGTTCCTATTTAATCATAATCTCCTCAACATCTAACCTCTGGCAACCACTGATGTGTTCTACGTCACTACTGTTTTGCCTTTTCCAGAATGTCATATAAATGGAATCATATAGCATATGATTTGAGATTTGAATACTAGTTTATTTCACTCAACATAGTGCCTCTGTATTTCATCCAAATTATGGCATGTATCAATTGTCCATTCCTCTTTTAGTGCTGACTAGTATTTCATTGTTGGAATGTACCACAGTTTGTTTACCCATTCACCTGTTGAAGGGCATTTGGGTTGTTTCCTGTTTTCAATTATTAGTTAACAACCAAAAGAAGCTGCTATAAATATCTGCATATGGGTTTTTGTGTGGACATATGGGTTTCATTTTTTAAAGCAGATAACAGGAGTGGGATTGTTAGCTCATATGGCAAGTATATGTTTAACTATATAAGGAACTGTCAAGCAGTTTTTCAGCATGGATGAACCATTTTGCATTCTACCAGTAGTGTGTGAGAAGTCCAGTTATCCTCATTCTTATGAGTACTTGGTATTGTATTGAATTTTTTATTTTGGCCATTCTAACAATGTGTTAGGAGCTCTGGTAGCGTAGTGCCTAAGGCATTTGACTGCTAACCAGAAGGCTGGTGGTTCAAACCCACCAGCCACTCCTCGGAAGGAAGGTTGGGCAATCTACTTCTGCAGTGATACCGCCTCAGAAACCCAAGGAAGGGTCACTATGAGTCAGATCCAACTGGATGGCAGTGCATTTGGTTTTTTTGGAATAATGTGTAGCAGTATGTTTTTGTGATCTTAATTACATTTCTTAATGGCTAATAATGTTGATCACCTTTTTATGTGATTATTTGCCATCTGTATCTCCCCTTTAAGACTTTTGCCCATTTTTAAATTGGGTTTTTGGTTTTGTAACTGTTGTGTTTAGAGAGTTTACCCAAAAAAGAAACTCACTGCCATCAAGTCAATTCCGACTTGTAGTGACCCCCAATGAGTTTCTGAGAAGGTAAATCTTTACAGAAGTAGACTGCCCTGTCTTCCTTCTGTGGTGTGGCTAGTAGTTAGTGGAGGTGCTAACCAACCTTCTGGTTAGCAGTCAAATGCCTTAGGCACTGTGCCACAAGAGCACCTTTAAACATATGTATGTATGTGTATGTGTATATATGTATATATATAATCAGGATACAAGTCCTTAGTGAGATATGTGATTTGTAAAAATTTTTTCCAATCCACAGATTGTTTTTCATTGTTTAAACAGTGACATTCATAGAACTAGAGTTTGTGTGTGTGTGTGCATGCACTTCGGGTGTAAATTTACAAAGCAGATTTGTTTCACATTTAACAGTTCATGCACATTTGATTTCACAGCCACAATTACAATCCCCAACCATAAAAAACTCTCCTTCCCTCTACTCCCTGTGACTACCCCCTCCCTGTGCCCTTCTTATCTATGCATCCCTGTCAGTCCAGGTTTCCTTCTATATGAATGCTGCCCCTCTGATGTCTCATGGGTGATTGATCCAAGGGGTGCATCTCCCTAGGGTAGGTGGGTGCATCACCCTGGGGTAGGTGTTCTGCATGTAGGTCTTTCCACTGTTGGGCTGAGAGCCAATCCACGCGAGTGAATCCATTTCTAGGCCCAAAGGATAACCGGGGGCCATAGTCTTGGGGGTTCCACCAATCTCTATCTGACCAGTAAATCTGGTCATTTTTGTGTTTTACTTTTGTTCCACGTTTTTCCTCCCACTCTAACCAGGATCTCCAATTCTGGTCCTTTTCCAAGTGCTTGGCATTGTTAGCTGGGCACTATGTCATTCTTCTGGTCTCTGGATCATGAAGGCTGAGGTCCTCGTGGTCCATCACATCTTTGAACTAATTGTTTCCAAATGACTTTGATTTTCTACACTCTTCTTGCTCCACATGAGAGGACACCAATAGTTGCATCTTACATGGCCACTTGAAAGCTTTTAAGAACACAGTTGCTACTCACCAAAGTAGGACACAGAACAAGATATCTATGTACTATGTTGTACCAATTGATCATGATGTCTCCCAAGACTGTGGTCCCAAGTCTGCAGGCCCAGTGATTCTTTCTCTCAAGGTGTTTGGTTGTCTCTGAGAAGCTATTCCAACCCTATCCTCTGTTACTTCTGTAATGTATATGGATAATTTTGTAGCACAAGTGCATATGTAAGATTGTCTTCAGCTAATTTCTCCTTGGTCTAGGGTATATTCCTGTTCACTTACTCCCACCTGATCTTCTCACCTGTTTGTGCATTTACCCATTGCCCAGTGTTTGGTGCCACTGGTAATGCAATATTGTGCATGTAACAGTATTTGCCTCTATCATCTATATCTTTTGTGCACGTTTCTGTGTCCTCCCTTTCCCCACTGTCACCATGCCGGTCACAGACTCTGCCCATACCATCCCTCCCCTCACCCAAATCACTAGTCTAAAATTTTCCCTCCCCTTCCCTCCCATTCCCTATAACCAACAAAGTGAATCTCCTTCCTTGAGTAAACCTTTCCTTGATTTTTCACAATAATGGGCTTATACAATATCTGTCCTTCTGTGATTGACTTATTTCATTCAGCGTAATGTCTTCCAAATTCATCCACATTGTGAGATGATTCATGCATTCTTCATTATTGTTTAATGTTCCACAGCATTCCATTGTGTGAATGGATCATAGTTTGGTTATCAGAACAAAAGGTTTTAATTTAGAAGAAGTCAATTTTTTCTTTTATGGATCATGTTATAGTGCATGTCTCTAAAAGCATTTTGCATAATTTCAGGCCACATTGGTTTTTCTCTTATGTTTCCTTCTGAAAGTTTTATAATTTTACATTTAGATCTTAGATCCAAGATCTAAATTTTACATTTAGATCTGCTATCCAATTTTGTATAAGATATCTTGTCAAGGTTCATACTTTTCCATATGGATGTCCAATTGTTCCAACACCATTTATTAAGTAGACCAACATTTCCTCATTGGATTTTCTTTGCACTTACATAAAAAAAATCAATTGGCCTCATCACTATGGCTAATTGATTTTTGAAAAGGGTGCTAAGTCCATTCAAGGGGGAAATAATTGTCCTTTCAAGAAATGGTATTGGGATAATAGATTTCTACATGTAAAAGAATAAGGTTGAATCCCTACCTCACACCATAAACAAAATGGACTCAAAATGGATCAATTACCTATACTTGAAGAAATAATGGCTGACAACTTCCCAAATTTGATATAAGACACAAACCTACAAATTCCAGAAGCTAAGCAAATCTCAAACAGGATAAATTCAAAGAATGACATGCTAAGAGCCATCATAATTAAACTTCTGAAAACTAAAGCCAAAGAAAAGAGGGAAATGATACCTCACCTATAGGGAAAAAACAATTGGAAAAACACCAGATTCCTCATCAGAAACTATGGTGGTCAGAAGGAAGTGACATAATGTTTTTCAGGTGCTAAAAGAAAAGAACTGTCAATACAGAATCCTATATTCTGTGAGGCTATCCTTCAGCAATGAAGAGGCAATTAATACTTTCTCAGAAAAAAGAGAAACTAAGAGAAGTTTTACCATCATGTTCTAAAGGAAAGCTCTCTAAAGTTATCTAAAAGATGAAAAAAGGAACCTTGGAAAATCGAGTGGTAAGAAAGAATACAGTAAGTAAAATATCCCTAAATACACTTTCTTTTTCTTCACCTGTTGTTTTTTCAAAATTATATAAATGAAATACCAGGAGACTGTAATAGGTTGTATATATGTATGTATGTGAATATATGTGTATGTATATCATTATATGTATGCATCCATCCACATATGTGTATATATATGTGTCCAAGAAGCTCATAGAACACCACACAAGATAGATTCCAAGAGAAAAACACTGAGGCATGTTGTTGTTTTTGTTGTTATGTGCCGTCAAGTCTGACCTGACTCATAGCGACCCCTCCTTGAGTTTCCAAGGCAGTATCACTATGGAAGTAGATTGCCCAACTTTCCTTCCAAGGAGTTGCTGGTGGGTTTGAATCGCCAGCCTTCTGGTTAGCAGACAAGTGCCTTAGGCACTAAGCTACCAGAGCTCCTAGGCAGATAATCAAATTCTCCAAAACCAAAGACAAAGAAAAAATTTTGAGAGCTGCCCTGGACAAAAGAAATATTACCTATAATAATCAAACAGTTTGACTCCAATTACTCAGCAGAAACCATGTAGGCAAGAAGGCAATGGGACGGCATATATAAAACACTGAAGGAAAAGA